GTACTCCAGTCTGGGCGACAGAGTGAGACTCCAACTCAAAAAACAACAACAACAACAAAACCAAAAATAAAAATAAAATAACAGTGCATTCCAAGAGTCTCCATAAAGGTACTTCTCTGCTACCACCTAGTACCAAGTCTTCAGGGAATGATTCTCACCTGCACCATTTTTTAAAAAAAATTTTAACATTTTATTTATTTATTTTAGCAACCCTCCAATAAGGAAAACTGTCCGTACTACCTAGCAGCGTCCCACTAAAATCTCCATGTGCGACACTAAGCTCTTCCCGGTAGTGAAGTGCCTGCCAAGCTAACAGGACAAACTTCAAGAGGACCCCGGAAAGCAAGCGAGAAGCAGAAAGACACCAGGCAGGTCTCCCTGGGGACAACTGTCAGGCTGCATTTTGGTTAAAAATACCCAACACACCTCTACAGAATAGAGGATAATCCATTACACAAAGAGGAGAGACCAAAAACCCCTACACATTATTCTCTCACAGGATGGTCCAGTGAGCGGCTGAAGCCATAAGAATTTTCAAACATCTCTCGGTGTATGAGAAAAGATGCAATGACGGGAGAACCATCATTCTTGGACTAGGCCTGTAACTTCCATATAACACGTGCAGCCAGAGTAGCAGGTGGAGCCAGAGAAAGGCTCATGTGTGGGAAACCAAACCAACACTCATGCTTTGAAACACAACATCCTGGCCTCTGATGCCCAAGTCTAAGGTGATGGTGTGAACTTCTGTATAAAGGGTGCCCCATAAAACTGAGTAACATTAAAGAGGGTACACACAGTAGCTCAATCAATCCTAAAAGGTGCAGGCAGCATCAGTTGAGCACAGTGGTGCATGCCTATAATCCCAGCTACTCAAGAGGCAGGGTCAGGAGGATCCCTTGAGCCCAGGAGTTCAAGGTTGCAGAGTGCTAGGATCGTGCCACTGCATTCCAGCCTGGGTGACAGAGTGAGACCCTGTCTCTTAAAAAAAAAAAAAAAGTAGCCGGGCTCAGTGGCTCAGCCTGTAATCCCGCGCCTTTGGGAGGCTGAGGTGAGTGGATAGCCTGAGCCCACAGTTCGAGACCCACCTGGGCAGCGAAACTTCATCTCTACAATAAATAAAAAAATCAGCCGGGTATGGTAGCGCATGCCTGTGGTTCCGGTTACTTGGAAGGCTGAGGCAGAAGGATCGTCGGAGCCCAGCAGGTCGAGGCTGCAGTGGCTGGGAGCGGCCACTGCACTCCAGTCTGGGTGACAGAGTGAGACTCCAACTCAAAAAAAAAAAAAAAAGTACAGCACCACCTTCAGCAAGATTCCTTTAGAAAGGGTTTTGACCTATGCCCAAATCCAGGACTTAAGAAGTATGGCTTCTCCCGCTGCCCCTTTTAACCAACACCCAATGCTGGAGCTCACAGAGGCCGAGTCATCAATGTGGCCTGGGGCTAGGGGCCTCTCTGTCCTCTGTACCTGCATATCGCCTCACAAGTCAGAAAAGACTCTTCTATTACGAAAACATGTTTGTGTTCTCAAGAGTGGGTCTGAGTACCAGTGCCAGGGTTGATCCCTGCGAGGCTCTATTGGCACCATGTCAGAGTGCCTGGGCCTTCACTGTCTCCCATTCCTCCTCTGCAAAATGGGCTTAACAGCTAGCACCCCTCAGTCCAGGGGGCAGGTAGTCGAGTCAGACACGGAAGCTCTTAGCACAGTGCCTGGCAGAAGAAGCACTCGATAAGAGCTCATCTTCCTCCTGTGAGGTGGGTGGAGGTGCCAGAAAACAGGGCCTGTGGCTCCTCCCACAACCTCTCCAGAAGCCCCACTGGCTCCTCCAGGATCCCAAACCCTGACATCTCCATGACCCCAGCCCGGTGCTCAATCAGAATGTAGATCTTCTTGAAAATCAAGAACAAGAAAGCCCCAGACTTTTCACCACTCCTACCCACAGCCCAACGATCAGACTTCTCAATTTCACTCCTTATGTGGGGTCTGCCATCCCACAGCTCCTAGTTTCCATCTGCAAAGTCTGTTTCTTTGAATATGGTCTTCCTGCTCGTAGTGCAGCCCGTGGCTGGGGCACGCTTTCAGCACTGGCACAAACTGACCAAACTTCTCGGAAAGTGTCCTTCTAGTTTCTGAAATGGTGTCCACAGTCACCCATCTTCTGAGTCAGGCTCATTGCCGACCCAATTCTTCACTTTCCAAGTGACCTAACCCTAAGCCTAAAAGGCCAAAATAGTGTCTGAACTAAAACATTCGCATTTACCAACTATTCTCTAATTAATTCAATCCATTCTAAGAGCCCTTGAGAGAAAAAGTAGACTCTACTTTAAATACCCACTGGTCAATAGCCTGGTGTCATCCCAGCTATTAAAAACAGCCAAGAAGGGAAAGAATGGGGAGAAGAATGGAGAAAGAGGAATGTGGGGCAGGGTGTGGGCAAGGAGAGAGCAAGCCTGGGTGGACAAGCAGCAAGGACGGGCCAAGAGCTCACGGCCTAGGTCCAGATACACCGCAGGGTGTGCCTGTGGCTCACCTGCCACTGCAGCCGTCTTCTCACCAAGAAGCCTGGTCTGGCTGCCTGGGATGACCTGGAGGTCAGTGTTCTCAGGGGACTGTGGCAGGTTCTGGGCTCGGGTAGCCAGGAGCGCATTGAGGTACTGCAGCCGGGTGACCTGGAGAACAGAAAGTGTTACCTGGCAGGTGCAATTTATGATGCAAGATGCAGAAGGTAGGCTCGAGAGGACACACCATGCCAGACAGAACAAAGGAAGACCTTTAAGCTAGTTAAGTGCGGAGAAAAATAGCTGAGCCAAGTGTTTTTAAGACTTCCAATTGAAAACTGGGTACAGAGGCCCAGAAATAGGACCAGACCACCAGCAGTCAGCAGGACCTCCAGGGAGCCAAGGCCTGTCCTTCGGGGCAAGTGCAGGGCCTTGCTCTAGGCAGTCTTGAGCCAGCCAGTGTGGTCCTTAGAGACACAAAACCGGCTAAAGCCAGCAGCCATGAGCAGCCAGGCAGTCACCTTAATGAGTTGCAGGTCAGAAAGGGCCCTCACGGTGTAGTCAGGACAATACGTAGACGAACGGGTGCCATCGGCTGGCTCGGGCTGCAGGTCATGGCAGATGAGCTGGAGCGAAGACACTGGGGACTGATGAACTATCAAAAGAACAATCAGTGACACCAGAAAGCAGGGTAAGGAACTGGGCAGCTCCCCACCCTGGTGGGGACAACCGCACAGCCTCAAGACCCACCCCAAAAATCACCCTTGCAAGGGAATGTGAGTAGAAACTTGGAAGAGAATGGTGAGCACTCCTGGGAAAGGTACTGCGGAAATGGAGGTGAAAAGCAAAGGTAAGCAATGAAGAAATGCTGCCCCTCCCTCTCAGGAGCCCAGGATGAGAAACACTCTTGTAGGGTATGGGCGCTGGTGGAAGGAGGCAGCTAGATCCTGGGCACTAAGGGGTGAAGTGACAAGGGGGTGGGCAGACTCTGCAAGCATGACCCCAGTCCTCACTCCAGCAGGGGCCACAGCTCACCCGAGGACGGCACCGTCAGGGCAGACACGCCATAGTAGGTGAAGGCCCCGTTCTCAAACTTCAGGCCCTCCTTCCCGATCTCTACTTCAACCCTGCCCTGGGAGGGAGGAGAGGCAGAGAGAGAAACAGATGTGGACAGATTATCTTTCCTGTCAGAAGAGAGTGCAAAGAGAAACCAACAAGCATAATTATTCAGTAGCAAGGGTAGGTATCTGCACGCCTCTGCTCCCCACCTCTTCTCACAGACCCTTCCCTAGTCTCTGAGGAAGTGGAGGCTCCAGGCAAGGGACGCCACAGTCACCTGCAAGATAAGGATGAAGTAATCCACTGGCTGGCTGCGCTGGTACAGGTAATGGTGTGCAGCCAGGCGGTTGCTCTCGTCAAACCTCACTTCCTGGTTGACGCTGGGGTGCTTCAGCAGGTGCAGCAGGACCTTCTCGGAGATTCGCAATGGGCTGAATACATCCACTTCTGCGCCACGGGGGACAAAAGGGACACTGTCCACTGGGGCCAGAGTGGCCTGATGTCTGTTGCGCACCTGGGCTCTTCTGGGGTGCCTCATGAGTGGCCAGGCCTCCACACCACAGCATGAGACAGCTGGGTGGGGCATATCACCCCTGCCCGGCTGAGGCTCCCTGGCTGTGGCTTCCTAAGGTGGCACCAGGTGGCCCTGCTCTCAGCCGCCTGGCAGAGAGGAGCACAGAAATCCTCCTCGAGACTCTCCTGCTTAGTAGGAACAGGAAGCAGAGTCCGTGTCGGCCCTGGGTGGTCTCCTGACCCACTGGACGGTGAGCGAGAGCGGGGGCAAGGACCACCCTTCCCCCTCACCTCGGGAAAGGAAGCGCTGGGTGGCCAAGAGCAGCTGAGGCGAGATTTTTACTTTGTATTCATCGTCAGACACCTTGAACAAGGAGAATTCCTCCTTCCGCTTAAGGGGGGCAATCAGAGAAAGTGGCTTCTTCCTCACCATAGCGTCTCCTGAGGAGTTAAGAAGATAGTGTGTCAAATCAAGTGGCCATGCTGCCCGTGCCTTCCTCCCAAGATCAGCAGATTCTCAAGGGAGACGGTATCAGAGCCCCAGGGACACACCTTCGGCCCTACTCCCTCCACAGCACCTGGCTATCATTCCCACCACACAGTAATCTTGGTACCCAGGAAAGAAGGAGCAGCAGCCCACATTCCAGATGTGTTGAGGAAGTGGGGAAGGGACTGCCCCTTCCCTGCTTTGGAGCAGGCTGAAGAGAACGCTGAGATGATAGCAAAGCAGCTTATAAGAAGACAACAGGAGTGGATTGCCTGAGCCCATGGGTTCGAGTCCCGGCTGGGCAACTTGGCGAGACCTCATCTCTACAATAAGTCAAAAAATCAGCCGGGTGTGGTAGCGCATGCCTGTAATTCCGGCTACTCGGAAGGCTGAGGTGGCAGGATCACCAGAGCCCAGCAGGTCGAGGCTGCGGTGGCCGGGAATGGCCACTGCACTCCAGTCTGGGCAAGAGTGAGACTCCAACTCAAAAAAAAAAAAAAAAGAGCCGGGCTCGGTGGCTCAGTCTGTAATCCCGCGCCTTTGGGAGCCCGCGGGTTCAAGACCCGCCTGGGCAGGCGAGACCTCATCTCTACAATAAAATCAAAAAATTAGCTGAGTGTGGTTGCACGCGCCTGTAATTCCAGCTACTCGGAAGACTGAGGCGGAAGGATCGCTGGAGCCCAGCAGGTCGAGGTTGCGGTGGTCGGGAGCAGCCACTGCACTCCAGTCTGGGTGACAGAGTGAGACTCCAACTCAAAAAAAAAAAAAAAAAAAAAAAAGAAGACAACAGACCTCCCTGACTATTATGAGACCGCTCACTGGAAAGCATGCATTTGAAGATTATTGGTGCACAATGGCAGCAGATAACCTGAGGACCCCAGTCTATGGCAATCTCAGGAACTGCAATAAAAATGCTGCATCTGGAAAATGACATGTGGGTAAAGCCTTACACTCGAAAGCACATGAGGTGGGTAGTCATCAATCATGGGCTTGCCCTGCACACCCAGCCATCATCCTAAGAAGCAGATACTTCTAAGTTACAACTAAGATACTTCTAAGATACAACCAAGATGACTCCCCAGTGTCATCTACTTTGAGAGGACTCTTGGTGGTAAAGAATAGATTAAGATGCTTCTGTAATGTATCAGAGAAACTGAAAACAAAAGCACCAAGGGGTGGGCATGGTGGCTTATACCTATAATCCCAACACTTTGGGAGGCCAAGGCAAGAAGATTGCCTGAGTCCAGGAGTTCGAGACTAGCCTGGACAATACGACAAGTTCCTGTCTCTACAATAAATCAGAAAATTAGCCAGGTGTGGTGGTGTGCACCTGTCATCCTAGCTACTTGGACAGCTGAGGTGTAAGGATCACTTGAGTCATGATCGTGCAACTACACTCCAGCCTGGGTGACAGAGTGAGATTCTGACTCAAAAAACAAAAGCAAAAACAAGCCAGGCGTGGTGGCTCATGCCTGTAATCCCAGCACTTTGGGAGGCAGAGGCAAGAGTCCTGAGCCCAGGGGTTTAAGACCAGCCTGGGCAACTTGGTGAGACCTTATCTCTACAAAAAAAATTTTTTTAAATTAGCCAGGTGTGGCGGTGCACATCTGTAGTTTGGGCTACTTGGAAGATTGAGGTGGAAGGACTGACTGAGCCCAGCAGGTTGAGGCTGCAGTGGCCGTGATCACAGCACTCTAGCCTGGGGGACAGAGTGAGAGTCTGACTCACAAAGAACAAAAAATCCCCCCCAAATAAAAGCACCTAGGGAGACAGAAGAATAGAAAAGGTCCATGAAGGGCAGAGGCTTCTGAGGAGAAGCAAACAGGACACCACTAATGAAGCCCCAAGCAAGCCCTGGGTCTGCAAGGCTATGGCTCAAACAGGCTACCATGGCTTGCATAGAGGGGGTCCCTTGCCAGTGCCCACACAGGGCTAAGGAGAAGAGGGCCTGGCTGAGGATCCAGCTTGTTTCCAGCAGCCTGGAGACGCACTGGCCTCTATACAACACAGCCCTCAGGAAGCCTGAAGGACCAGTCAAGGCAGAGAACAGCCAGCAGCCAAAACTCACGGTAATCCTCCGACTCATCCAGGATCTCGGACTTGATGATCTCCTCAATGACGTCCTCCAGGGTGACCAGGCCCAGGACCTCATAGAAGGGGTCGCCCTCGCCTTCGTTGTTCACCTTCTGTACAATGGCCAGGTGGGACTTTCCTGTGAGGGGAGGTCAGTTATGGAACAGCTTGCTGGGGTCCTCCCATTTCTCTGAGTCTCCCTGGGCACAAACCCACCAAAAGGACAGAAGCCAACGTTCATATTCTCGTAACGTGCCAGGCACTAGACCAGACTCCTTTCCTAGGGTTTTACTTGGGGCTCTCCATGTGCTTCTGAGGATTAGCCTTAGTTTACACACAACAAAGACAGCATTTCAGAGATGGTGCTCATTGCACAAGTCCCCCAAGGTGGAGAAAGGCAGCCAGGGATCCAGCCCCAGGTCTATGCAACCCCAAACCATGGATGTGGGTCAGACAAGGAAGCACCCGGTGGAGAACACAAACGCCTCCCCCAGCAACCACACTACAGACACTTGCTGACAAGGGCATGGACTCCAGAAAAGCAGTCTCCCCAGGGGCAACCTACATGTGGAAGCCCAGCAGGGTCACCCAGCCTGACTCTCCACTGGAGGTCTTCCTATTTCTGAAAGTTGCCCTGCAGGAAGTTCTCATCTAGTATGAAGATCAATGGGGACTGGCCACTTCATGGAGCAACAGGCAGAACTCTCCACTGCGCTCTCGTGTCTCTTTCTGTTAGTTTCCTGTTTGGTTGGTTTGTTTAGTGAGGAAAGGTAAGTTTGAAAAAAGCCCAAGTCTCAGAGTATTGGAGAATGCTGGGGAAGTTTCAGGAATTTACTCTGCAACAGGTAAGTCCTTTTCATCCTGCAATCTTTAGACTTACTTGTCTGAGACAGAATGCAAGCCACCTATGTAACTTAAAATCTCTGAATAGACACACACACACAAATAAATAAAAAGAGGTAAAATTAAGTTTAGTGATATGATGTAAGTAATCCAATATAGTCAAAATATCATTTCAACACGGAATCAATGTAAGAACTATTTTACCTTTCATTTGCACTAAACCTCTGAAATCCGGTGTGTGTTTTACACTTACAGAACATCTTGATTCACACTTGCCACCTTTCAGGTGTGCCACAGCCACAAGTGGCTGCTCAACAGGGTTGTACAGGTCTAGGATAAGGAGCTCAGAGCAATCCCTCCCAACCGTGCCCTTCTTTGCTGCTAGTAAAACAGTGAGCGGTAAAAGCCTGGCCTGGACTTGCATGTGAAGGGGTGTACTTGTTTCAAGAATCTTTTGGGAAATAAAAAAATCAAGTTCATATCTTTGTGTGAATGCTACTTGACATATTGCAGATTTAATTAAACAAAGTACCATTCTTCAGGATGTGTTCATAGCCTTGGTCAAAAATGAAAGGTGGAAATGACCACATTATGTTGTTTCCCCTCTTTCTAGTAGGAAAAGGCCAGTGGTCCCTGGAGACTCCACTCAGTCTGGCTGAGCCAATGGCACTGAATCAGAGTGCCATGTTTCTAGCTGCCTTCTAACCCTCTGTGCTGGTGCTGGGTACAAGGGCCATGGCCACCCTACCACAGAATACAAACCCATCAGGCCAGATCAGGAAGGCCAAGGGCAAGACACGTGGTCTTGGTCAGCAGTTTTTGGATTTAGGAACCAAATCCCAGTATCTAAATGGTTGCCTCCTAGCAGAGAGGCTTTATGCTGCCAAAGTCAGTTGCTTTGGCAAGTTAGCTACAGGAAGAAACTAACTCCTCCTCTGCTTTTAAACTTCCTGGAATAGTCACACATTTCTCTGTAACCTGTCACACTGGGGTGATTCAATAATGAACAGAAGAAAGCAGAGTCCCAGGAAGATCACCCAGAACAGTGCTTGTGCAATTTCATCTCAAGACAGAATGTCTGAAGGGTCCAGAAGGAAGCAAAGCAAGCAGTAGGGGTCATAGAGCAAGGACAGCTGGAAGTGTTCGAGTCCACTCCTCATCTGACAGGCCCAGCCACCTGCCTGGAACCACTAGCATGGGTGCCTGTGTACACCCAGCTCTATGAAGCCACAGGCTGGTGCCATGGTGCCTCTGGCCAATGTCAACCAAAAAGTTCTGGAAAAGCTCTACGGAGCAGACTTGAGGGTGCTCCAGTCATCTGGATGCTCAAGTATCCTTTTACAATGCCTCATTTCTAGTATATTCTTATTAATGCAGCAGAGTCTAATTCCGTCTGCCTTCTCTCTTTAGTTTTCTAAAGCAACTGGGTGAGTACTATGAGAAAGAGAAAAGTAATAAACACTCCTCACGGCTGTCCGGGAATGTCAGACTCTTCTGCGTTGTGGCAATCAACTGGCTTCCAACAGATAGTAAACCAGACCTTGGTTTAAAGCAGAGACTCTGACAAGTATGCCTACCCTAATCCTTGCTTTGGCTAAATACCCTTGAATCGTCTCACTGGAGGTTGACAAAGAAGGCAGGGATAAATGGCTGTACAGAAAATACCCACAGTCCCTGACTTAATGATTTTTTGACTTTATGCTGGTGTAAAAGCAATAAGCACCTGAGCCTGCAGGTTTGAGACCCACTTGGGCAACTTGGCAAGACCTCGTCTCTACAATAAATAAAAAATTGGATTTTGCCCAACTGTAGGCTAATATAAGTGTCCTGAGCACATTTAAGGTAGGACAGGCTAAGCTATATTTAGTATGTTAGGTGTATTTATTAGATGCCCTTTTGAATAACGATATTTTCAAATTCAATGGGTTTATCAAAATGCAATCCCACTGTAAGTCGAGGAGCACTTGTACAAATTACTATACCTCCAAAGCCCTCATGCTTCCTGGTGATGTCTGCACAATGCTTGCACAAAATAACTGGTGTGTCATCTTGAGTTTGTACTGAGGGACCTCACACTGGGAAGGTACCTCTCTCCCACACTACAAAGTTCCCCACCACAAGGAGCAAAAGGAACAGAGGCTGGAATGGTAGTTGTTGAGATGCCAGGGACTCCAGCTCCAGAAAATTCAGAGGGTACCACCACCCCATACATTTGGCAGAGAGACAGGAAGGGAATCAATTTTTATTTTTAAGTTGGGGACTCACTCTGTCGCCCAGGCTGGAGTGCAGTAGCATGATCACTGCTCACTACAGCCTCAGCCTCCTGGGCTCAGGCAATCCTTCTGCCTCAGCCTCCCAAGTAGCTGGGATTATAAGCACGTGCCACCACACCTGGATAATTTTATTTTTTTACAGAAATGAGGTATTGCTATGCTGCCCAGTTTCAAACTCCTGAGCTCAAGCAATCCTCCTGCCTTGGCCTCCCAAAGTGTTGGAATTACTGGTGCGAGCCATCGCCAGGGAACTGATTTTTAAAACCTCACATGAGGCTGGGTGTGGTGATTCATCCTGTAATCCCAGCACTGTGGGAGGTCTAGGTGAAAGGACTGCCTGAGCCCAGGGGTTCAAGACCAGCCTGGGCAACTTGGTGAGACCTCGTCTCTCCAATAAATCACAAAAACTAGTTGGGCGCGGTGGCGTGCGACTGCAGTTCCAGCTACTCGGAAGGCTGAAGCAGAAGGATCACCTAAGCCCAGCAGGTCAAGGCTGAGGTGGCCGTGAGTGTGCCACTGTACTCCAGCTTGGGCGACAGAGTGAGACTCCAACACAAAAATAAACAAGAAACACACATAAAAAAAACCCTCACGTGCACAAAGACTGCAATATGCCCTTTGTTCATAAGCAGAGGAAAGCCTAAGGAGGTCAGGACAAAAAGGGGTTTAACAAAGAAAAATAAAGATATCTGCCGAAGGGTTGACCTGAACTACAGAAGCAGGAAAAGCTCCAGAATGTCACCGGAAAGAGACGGCTATTGGACCTGAAAATGGCCCTTACTCATCACAGGAACGAGGATGCCAGGGGGCTAAAAGGTTCCCCATTCAACTTCCAGGCTCCAAAAACCTCCCCACTGGCTTCTAGAAGGGGACTTGATCCCCACATCGTCTGGCATCAGGCCGCTTGAAACCTGGACCTCCAGAGCTGCTAGGAGACCACCCAAAGCAGGAGCAGCCTGTACCATGGCCTTCCCTCTCGAATTTCCTTCCTATAAATATTTCAACCTACAATTCACCCTAAACCTGCTTAACTCGACCATCTTAAAACCAAAGAGCAGAAGGCCTTCTCCTGCCCCCACGTAATCTGCCAGTCACTGACCTTGCCCTGAACATCACAACCAGCTTCTAAGCTTTTCCCTTAAGTTTCGTTCCAGCAAAGCTCCACCGGGGGGAGGGAGGATCTACGTTAGCTCTCCTACACCCACGTCTCAACCATTCCCCAAATCGCTCCCCAGCCATGGCACCAATCTGCTCTTGCGAAGGTCAAGGGCACCCTGGTTGCTTGCCCTCTCTCCTGCCACTCGCCTTCTCTTGGAAAGCGAGCTCTTTCCATAGCTTCCAGGACAGTGCGTATGCCTGGTGCTCCTCCTCCCGTGGTGTTCTCGCCTCTTCTTGGCAACTTTTCCTTGGGTTCCCCTGCCCCTAACAAGCTTGTGCTCCTCAGGGGTTCAGGCTGTCTGCTTTAGTCCTGTGGCCTGAGGGGCCACTTGTGTTCTCTCATTTGCATTTCACATCAGCCACCGGTGAGGAGTTTGCCTCTTGGGACAGACACAAATTCCAATGTCTGAGGCAAACTCACCTGCTCCCCAGCCCTTAGGAAAGGCAACAGACAACACAGAAGCCTGGGCCTCATTCCCAGCTCCTCCCTCCTGCTCCATGGTCCCTTGGTCAACCACCAAATCTTCCCAGTTCCACCCTCTAATGCCCTCTTGGGTCCCCTCTCCAGGCCCACGGTGCAACTTTGTTCAGGCTATCATCACAACTCATCTGGATCCCTCTCACCGCTGGTCTCCCTGCTCTGATGTCTACCTCAGTCCTGGTCTATAAAAACAACTCAGATAATGCCACTATCTGCTCACAACCCTGCTGACCAAGTCCAAGCCCATCACACAGCATACATGCTCCTGTGGGCCCACCCTGCCTCCAGGCTCCTTCCCAATCAACAGACAGCTACATTTAAATTTTTCCCAACTGGGATCCCCAAAAGCCCCGAGCCAGGCTCACCTGTCACATCTGACCGTGG